ACACTAGAAGATGGGATTTTCGAAGGCAACTCTTTATTGAAGTCTTTGGATTTGTCTTTTTATAGAGTACGTCAATTAAGAAAAAAACTCGTTCAAAGGACTCAAAAATTTACTCTCGTTGAATCTCAACAACACTGATTTGAGATATGAAAACAAGTCGTTTGACTATTCAGCCTTTTATTTCTTGGAGAACTTGAAAAACTTGAATTGAAAAAGAAATGCAAACACCTCATTCATGCCAGATTTATGGAAACTTCGGTCAATAGAATTGCTGGCATTAAACTATGTTTCAGACAAAATTGCAATTTTCGATGAGAAATTTGCAAATCTACAAAAAACTAACAGGTATCGATCTATCTGGTATTACAGGAAATTGCAAAATGACTATACTAACAGAGAAGACATTCTTTTTCTTGCCTCAAATAACTCATTTAAACTTTTCCAAATGCAAATACAATATATTTTAAAAGGAACTTTTAAGTCATTGAGAAATATTTTCGAACTTGACGTTTCTATAAATACATGATTAAGATTCGAAACGCTTGAAAATATTACCACCGATTTGCAACATTCGGCAATTGAAATCTTGAAAGTAAACTACATTCTTGGTATTTTGGAAATGACTACAGTATTGAAAACTTCTCACATTTGGAATTTAAAAAATACATCAATTGTTAGACTCGAAGCCACCGGGAACCGTATTCAGAGAATAGAATCCGGAGCAATTAAATCTTTACCTAGTCATTTAAAAGTGCAGATATAAGAGACAACATGTTCTCTTTAGGAAGATATGTGCTTGGTATAATGGAAATGCCAATTACATCACTAGAAATGTCTGATAACGCTTCTCCTCTTGATGTGATCACATCCTATGTAGATGAAGGCCATATCAAAGAAGAATATGTTATCATTAAATCTGAAAACAAATGGCTATTTAAAGAACTCCAAATTTTAGAAATGTTGAAAAATCAAGCTGGTAAGTTGATTTTTCTTGTGCCAGGAAAACTGTTAAAAGTTTCAGTGAGGTCCAGCACCTAAAATATGAATTACCAAATTTAGGTTTGAATGCAAATGAAATAGAAAATATACGTTTGAGTGCTAATGTTTTGCATACATGGACAGGCCCTATAACGTATGTAATAAAAAAACTTACACATTTAGACCTCTCGGCAAACGTTTGTTCTAATGTTTCAAAGACATTTTTCAGTCCAGATTTCATCAATTTAAGATGCTTACTGCTACAAAACAATATTTTAGAACTCGTTCTACCAACGGATGTCGACGTTGAAATATTTCAGAACCTCCATAACGTCGTGTACATTAATCTTTCTAAAAATAAAATAACAAATTTACCAAATCTGTTATTCAAAAACCAACAAAATTTAAAAAGATAAGTTCTCAGTGAAAATATGATTGGTGGAATGAACTTTAAAATTGTTTACTAGTAATTCAGAATTCTTAAGGAGTGCTGAAGTTCAAATGACTTGCATTGCAAAACATGGATATCTGAATGTTTTGTAACAACATTTATTTATTTAATATCTAAACATATTCATAATCGAAGCTGCATATGAAAATCTATTTTTGTTTTTGAAAAAAACCTTAGAGTAGTGAGGAGGGAACAGGGAGTAATATAATGTATTATTGATTTCTAATGACAAAGAGTCATTAATCTAGACTTTTTAGAAAGAAACAAAAAATGCGCTGATTATTATGAAACATACCTATAATTTTAATCAGATACATGTAATATGCATTGTTTATTGGGGAACATGTTCATTTTGTTGTTGTTTTATTGTAAATAGGATATTTGTACATATACTTTACGTTCTTCTTTTTCCATTCTGATATAAATATTGTTTTAAATCTTTTATGCTTATTTTTTGTAAAATAAAACCAATATGTGCACGACTGTTGTAAATTTCAGTTGCCATAATAGAAAATGTGTTTCTCTCAATGGGAAAACAGATTAATTGATGAGCGCTTAATATGCAATGGCAAATACTATGCGCATTTTCCGGATACATCAAATTTCAAAATAGCATTATTTTCGGATTCTTGACCAACATGAATATATCCAAATATTGACCAATTTTAGATAGAATTACATTAGCGTACCAATTTATCCAACGAGATGTGCATTTCGAGAAATAATATCTCTTCAGTGATGCGTGAGTCGACCATATTTTAAATGACAAACCCAATGCAACAGTTTAATACAAATCCAGACATGGAATCTGAGTTTTGAATGAAAGGGATTTTTTTTTTCAAAATTTTATAACACTAAGTATCAATCAAACAATATCCGGATTTTCATGCCAGTCCCGAAGTACTGAATCCTGGGATGATGATACGTCCACCAGCAGAGGAATTGACCAGAACGAGCTATTAATACCTGACAAAGGAGCTAGAAAAAAAGGGACCAAACAAAATTTTAGATATATAAAATGCAAGAAAACTAAAAATTGAGGAACCCGAACCGTATCAAAAACCGGGAGTGAACTCAAATACTCCCGAATGATATGGAGTTCAATCAATCACTTACAATAAAATTTGATGTGGCATAACAATGGAATGAATGACAGAGGATTCTAAACACTCAGGCTGATCTGGCTTCGGTAAGTAGTATTTTATTTCTAAAATGTGTATAACTAGAGGTACTAGAATCTAAATTCAAATTCCTAGATACAACCACAAAAATAAAACAATCGGGTGTATGGAAAATAAAAAAGTAACTGTATCAATTGTTTCTTTTTCTGATGCTATTATACTACTTTTCACTGTTAAAAGACATTGAAGAGAAACAAGAGAAATTACATATGGATTACCTGTATTTAAGAAAAAGTAAGTTTGAAAATTTTTATTCAACTTTTAGGGGAATGTACACGTATCACAGACGCGTATCCATCAATTTTGGAAAAAGTGGGGTTTGGTTGTGGGCGTTCAAACCACTAGAACACCATGAAACGTTCACAACTAAAGACAAATCGTAAAAAAAGATGATTCTAACCCCTTGACCCCTTGGATCCGCTAATGCATCATGTGCATTAGCAGGCGAAGAAAGACACAAAAGATGAACACTGACCCTAAGCTTGGAAAATGTATTCAAAGTGAATTATCTGTTATAAGTTTAATATGATTTAATTAGAGATATGATCAGTTATTCTCAAAATATAATTGTTCAGGTTTCTGTTCATAATAAATAACGGATGTTTTGGTGAATTGTGGTCGTTTTAAAATTCACAATTCTTTTATGTTTTTAAAAGGCGAACTACGGACAATAATACATACATGTAACATAACTGAGCGACATAATCAAAAGGGACCGAAAGAAACTAGCCAAATTCATTTAAGTTCAACTTTGCCAAAGTGAGTTGGAAAATACTCACAAAAATACCCGGATTATAATTTAGTACGCCACGTTCGCTATTCGTTTACATCAAACTCATTAGTGGCATTTGATTCACGACATATTCAAGGCCAACATTATGTTAGTTCTAGCATAATTAAGTGAACCTTTGGTTCAAAATAGCTTTTCAAGTTTAATTGCGATTTCATGACATTCCGTTTAAAATTTCTTTGTTTAGAAGTGATGTGCTTTTGTTGCGAAAACATTCTTTTTTATCGATATTAATATATAGGGGAGCGAGACAACAAATTCGTTTTAAGAAGTAAGTTTTTCTACGATAAAGTATGCTGTTAGCGTAGGAACGACAAAATAAGCCCAATTTTTTTTGACCTCACACTTCAAAATCATATTTTTCCATTTCATTGCATTTGTCTTTCATATACCTACCAAATCGGCAGAATCGAATGCCGTAATACCGAAGTGTTTTCAAAGTTTTTGCTCTATATCAATATGTAAGAGATTTTATGAAAATAATGATACCGTATTGGATTCGACCCTACATTCTAGTTTAGGGTGTATCAGACATAAATACATGCTCAAAGCTTCTTGTTTGTGTCTATCTATTTAATTTTTTTTCAATATGCGAAAATTGTTAAATTCACAAACCTGTGAAGTTTTTTTTTTGATAGCAGATCTGCACGATTGTTTGTTTTGTTTTCAGCAACCAGCATTTGTACAAGATTAGATAGTATTCTCTTGCACATAGTATTGGGATTGATCTTTGTTCTGTCAAGTTTGATGTTACTAGGATCTCCTTTTATAAATCGCAAATATTATCGTTTGATTTTCAAGTAAGGAGAAGAAACGTAAGTTTACAAATAAGTGACTGCCTTTGCTAGCAATGAACGTTCAATGATATTTTTTATTGTTGTTATATTTTGTAGTTTTATGTTTTTTCTTCTTCTAATATTCCTTCAATGCGTTTTCATTTTCCACCTGATAGATTAAACTAGCAGTCTATGTCTTATTTATTTGCACCTATATCCAATGGAGTTTGTTAAAATAGTTTGGAACGACGACAAAGAGAAGAAAGAAAAGCCAAAAAGTAATAAATCATGGAGATGTGAATAATAAGGATTTTAGCACGGATTTGCCATTAATGCCTAAAATGTTACCTCAAGAAATAAAACATTTAGGACAGAGACGCCCATTGTTTGCATCGAAGCTTTCTATATCAAGTCAAATATTTACTGTTCTCGCGATTGAGCACACTACCTATAAAAAAGACATGCTTTAAAAGTACAGGCGATAAGGATGTTTTTATATTTCCACCTCGATTTCAACTCATTTTCCAATATTTAATTGTGCTGGCATTTAAAGCTATTTTGGTCCAAATAAATTGAAAGCCTTTGTATGTCAAAAAAATACCTTATCCTGACTTTTGCTGAAAAATTTAAAATACCTTTAATTTCATATGAGAGCGGAAGTTTGGTGGATAATTTTGATTATACCATCTATGATTTTACTTCATAGTGTGCATGTGAAATTATTTTTGAATGTTTTTGTTGTTTTTTGTTTGACTGTTGTTTCATCTAACTTTTTTTTTGTCTGTAAATCAGTAGGACAACCGGAAGCGCCTGAGTAATGATTTCGGTGCTCAGTGATACGGTTCACTAGACGACGTTGTCAACACGTAATGGCGGCCATTGTTTGACGTTGGATTTGGCATTCCACGCAGTAAAGATGCATTTATGACATTCTTGGATGCTAAAACTTAATGCCACACAACATAAAAGGTAAAGGATTATTTCAGATATACCGAGTTAATTATTTTCAAATAAGTGGGATCCCAAAAAATGATTTAAACGGCAAAAATAAAGTGTAAAATTATATGAAACATGAAAATGAAATCCCATTTTTCACCATTTCCTTTTCATATATTGAATACACTATTTACACCAACCACTGCTGAATTATATTCGGATTTCGGTCTTAGGTATCCGTCCTTGTCTCCGGGAATATTATACCCACACAAGTTGTCAACATCCGTTTTCAAATTGTTCAAAGTGTTCTTCACAATCTCCCTGGAAAATATTGACGCTATCATTTCGTGTTCAGATAATAGAACGTTGTAAACCTCTAACAGCAAATATTATACGGACCAAAATTAATCAAATTTGAAAGCACGGATGATCACGTGTAATGCCGACTGTAAGTTCTCTAAAAAGGGGAGTAATTTCTCCCCCAAATACACATGAATTTTGCGGACCGTCTCAAATTCAACTCAAAAGTCCATTATCAAATCAGAGGCGGATTTAGGGGGGCAGGTGGACCACCCCCCCCCCCTTTTGTGGGAAAAATTTGGTTGATTGTATAGGGAATCACTGATGCATGACTGGAGCGGGCCCCCTCTTAGGCAGTTAGTGGGCCCCCTCTAGTCCAAATAATTATGACGTCTTGCAAGGCTATTTTAATTTTTTTCTGGGACGCCTTCCTAGGCGTCCCAGAAAAAAATTAAAATAGCCTTGCAAGACGTCATAATTATTTGGACTAGGCCCCCTCTTATTAAAATTTCTGGATCCGCCACTGCAAATCATTAGAATGTAAGACATATTCACTTCTACTGTTGGCTATTTTATAGCTGGTCTATTATTAATAGATTCGTCCCATTTCATATACACCAAAATTTAATATTTAAAAAAACTTTCATTATTATATTAACATATAATACAAAGGGAAATCAATCACAAGCACTTGTTTCTGTCAATGGGGGGTTCACTATCCATACTCATACGAAAATTTTTATTTTTATGTGGGTGGGTCGGTAGGAGGAATTATATTCATCTTCTTATTTTACTATTATGGCTTATTAATTTTTTTTCAATCTGTACACAATTGTTCTTTCCTTTTTATTGGACAGAATATTCATGTTCATCCTGTGTCAGCACTCTTGTCAGAGCAATGTTTATTTTATGTTCGGTTATTACCATGATTACATGGACATGTACCAGATCTTTCGCATAAAAAAATTAATTAAGATAGCCATCCTCTAAATCATAACTTTGAAATTATAAAAGAAATTTACACATTGAAATTAACCAATCACCCACCCATTTGAAAAGCTTGTACACATGCTGCTTTGCATTACATGAATCCCCAGAAACTAATTAATTTACAATTTCTTAATACATGTTATATCTGACATGTTATATTCTTCCAATGATTATATATATCTAATTAGAAATGATAATCCTTAACAATATTACTTTCTCAAACTTCATTTATATTGTTAAATTCAAGGTGTCAATTTAGTGACAATACAGTCATGACAGTGGTGGTTCCAGGATTTAAATTAAAATAAAACTGGGTTGTGAGTGCCCCCAAAATGTATAAAATTTCAGCTTGCATTGTACAATAGACATGTTATGATCTTATGATGTTTATGCAAACTATTAAATACAAAAATGTTATCAAAAGGTTTGGTATAACATAAATTTGCTCCTTGTTAAACCTAAAAATTATTTTTCAAGACTTTTGAAATGTTTTCTTTGTCTGAAACTTTTATGTACATGTATTGAGCAAAAATGCTGGGGGCATAATTATCTGTAATACTTAATAAATACATGTACATGTATTTTCTTGGTAATTTATTTGGCAAATTTGTATTCATGTGTTGATAATAACAACATGAACAATGCAAAGTTTAATTTTGCTTTGAATAATTTAGTAAATAAACATTAATAGTAATTGTATGTATATTTGCTTTATATTTACAGGATGGAGAAAGATGTTCACTCTGGATCAAAAATTCAAAACAGAGGATCTTTTTATTCAAACAAAAATACTTGTACATTTATGATATTCTGTACATACAACAAGAAAACAGTAATCAAATGGAATGTCCAGTGATGTTGAAAGCAAAATTATTTTTGTTAACAGAAAACAATAGGACTACAATATATTAAGGGTAAGTAATCCAAAATTGTCTGTTTTAATAGGGTTACAAAAATTGACAATGTGCTATGATTTCAATCCCCCAAATATGAAACAAAAACATAATAAATTATACATGGTATTTAAACTGTTTTCATAAGGAAACAGACTGAAAAATATTCTGCATTTAACAGTCAGACATGAACGTTGCCAATGTAATAAATTGGGCCTGGAACTTAAAATTTATAGGATATATAGGCCAAGGAATCATTCAGACTTTAAGGCCAAATGGTATACTTTTAATAGTTTAAAGATTTTATTCTATTATCTATGCTGTATAAATGTCAATATTGTTTCATTTGGATTTAAAACCTAATTTCAAGAATGAAGGGTACAGTAATTTAAAATTAATTTAAATGATTTAAAACAATACAAGGGAAGTAATCTTACAAGATGTGCATTATATCCTAATGAAGTGTTTTTAATGAATTAGTCCATTTTTTTACGACCGCAAAAAATTTTGCGGTCGTATATTGGTATGACGTTGGCGTCGTCGTCGTTGTCGTCCGGTGTTGTCCGAAGACACATTGGTTTTCGCACTATAACTTTAGTTTAAGAGGATGGATCTCTATGAAATTTTATCATAAGGTTAAATACCACAAAAGGAAGGTTGGGATTGATTTTGGGGGTTATGGTACCAATAGTTAAGGAATTAGGGGCCAAAAAGGGGCCAAAAATAAACATTTTCTAGTTTCTAGACAATAACTTGTGGAACAGTTTATGGATCTCTCTGAAATTATACCACAAGTTTCCATACCACAAAGGGATGGTTAGGATTTGCTTTGGGGGGTTATGGCTCAAATCATTTAGGAATTAGGGGCAAAAAAGGGGGAAAACCAAGGTTGTCCTGGTTAATGGACAAATACTTTAGTACAAAACATAATTTAAAGCAGTGTAAGGGAGATAAATCAAATGCAGCATTTGAATTACCTCCCTTATGCTGCTTTTAAATTATGTATTAAGTAATGGTTAATGAACAATTAAGAAAATTCAAAACAGTGTAAGGGAGGTAATCCAAATACAACGTTTTGATTACTTCCCTTACACTGCTTTCAAATTATGTTTAAAGAAATGCATATTTATAAAGGAAGACCAGTAAAAATATCTGCAAAGTTGCATCTTTTTTTTTTACAAAAAAATCCATATGAAAGATTTGACACCATATTTTAAATTCTATTATAAAATAGATTAAGTTAGCACTATGGTAAATTTAAATGGGTAATTATGGTTGCAAATTCCATTGGAAATTTGAATTGAGATTATGACCATATCTTGAGGGAAAGAATTTTTTGGGGGAAAAAGGGGGGGGGGGGAGGGTAAAAAGAAATTGTGGGGGGTCAATTTTTTTCTCATTTCAGATTTCAGAAATTAAAGAGAATTATTCTTCAAATATTATTTTTTTTTTTCAAATTTCAAATGTTGAAAAATTTCAAGAAGTAATCTTTAATTGCACAGTATGGCCGATTAGATTTGTAAAATCTTTGACCACATTTATTTATTTGTTATGCCGAATCTGACCTTGTATTTAGATTTTTAATTTTGGGTCCAGTTTTCAAATTGGTCTACATTAAGGTCCAAAGGGTCCATATGGGGTTCTTTGATATGCTGAATCTAAACATTTGTTTAGATTTTTGATTATGGGCCCAGTTTTCAAGTTGGTCCAAGTTGGGGTCCAAAATTAAACTTTGTTTGATTTCAACAAAAATTGAATATATGGGGTTCTTTGATATGTTGAATCTAAACATGTATTTAGATTTTTGATTTTGGGCCCAGTTTTCAAGTTGGTCCAAATTGGGGTCCAAAATTAAACTTTGTTTGATTTCAACAAAAATTGAATATATGGGGTTATTTGATATGCTGAATCTAACCATGTATTTAGATATTTTATTTGTGGGCCCCGCTATCAAATTGGTTCATATTGAGGTCAAAAGGGTCCAAAATTAAACTTTGTTTGATTTCATCAAAAATTGAATTATTGGGGTTCTTTGATATGCCAAATCTAACCGTGTATTTAGATTTTTAATTTTGGGTCCCGTTTTTTAAATTGGACTACATTAAGGTCCAAAGGGTCCAAAATTAAACTTAGTTTGATTTTAACAAAAATTGAATTCTTGGGGTTCTTTGATATGCTGAATCTAAACATTTGTTTAGATTTTTGATTATGGGCCCAGTTTTTAAGTTGGTCCAAGTTGGGGTCCAAAATTAAACTTTGTTTGATTTCAACAAAAATTGAATATATGGGGTTCTTTGATATGCTGAATCTAACCATGTATTTTGATTTTTGGGCCCCGTTATCAAATTGGTCCTCATTGAAGTCAAAAGGGTCCAAAATTAAACTTTGTTTGATTTCATCAAAAATTGAATTCTTTGGATTCTTTGATATGCTGAATCTAACCATGTATTTAGATTTTGGATATCAGACCATAATAGGTAAATTAAAAAAAATTAAGTTCATAGACCACATTCATTCTGTGTCAGAAACCTATGCTGTGTCAAATATTTAATCACAATCCAAATTCAGAGCTGTATCAAGCTTGAATGTTGTGTCCATACTTGCCCCAACTGTTCAGGGTTCGACCTCTGCAGTTGTATCAAGCTGCAACCCAGCGGAGCATTTTATTTTCAGATAAGAGAATGACTTAAGCCGACTGTATTGGGGTAATAGATGGCCTTAACAATGAAATACAATATATTATAATTATCATTCTTCATTACATTTTGATTGAATTAACAAACTTAATTTAATAACAATAACAAAATATTTTCTTTTTTCAGAAGAATAATTTTACTGGAGGATAAAAAATTTAATACCTGGAATCAGCAATTTACAAAATGTATATGAAATTTATTAAGAGAGATATATTCATGTACAGAATGGTAACCCCACCAAATAACTCAGGTGGTTCAAGTGATTATTAGCAGACATTTTTGTTTAACTAATGTAGGATTAAATAAATGAAGCTTTAGCAGACTATGGGCTCCAAAGTGTAGTAAAAAGAGGATTTTTAAATATGACAGACTCATAAACATTAAAATGTGCATAAGTGAAATGTTACAATATTTAGTAAAACATTCAGATTATTGACTCAAGTTGTTTTCATGAAATTTTTTATCAAAACAATATCACTGTTATATAATTAATAAGATTCCATATGTTTTATTTTACCGGTATACTTTTGACAACCGAATATATCTTCCCTCAGCTCTGGCCTCAAGTGTTTCCCTTTTATTTTGTATGAGTGTAATTTACAGAAAGCTCACTTTGCTTTTGGCCAATTCAAGTTTTGCCTTTCCAGAATTATTGGACTCTATTCATGGAAAATTAGACATTTGCCCATATGTTGTAGAAGAACTCAATTTTGCTTTAATACTTTTTCAAGAAATTGTATCACAAGGCTAGATTTGATCAAATAATCTCACTTTTGAATATTTATCACATATCACATACTTAAATAATCTAGTATGCTTAGATTAATTTCCTTCACTTTTGCCCTGTTGTTGAGATTGGAGTGAAATAATTTAATTATTTTATCCCTATCAATTTGGGGTTGCCTGGGGATCTGTGTCCCATTGGGACGGGCATTTAACACTGCATAACTATATCCTATTACAAGTTATGATACAGCCAACCATATAACATAGCCCCTGCCACTGAAAGGAGAAAAGAGGTGCACAACAACCAAAAAAATATTTCACATGGCTAGCTTCATTGTATCCTTTGAATATTTCATTGATTTTTTGTCAGTAGTTATTCATTAAAGGTACTACAGTTCCCTTTTAGTTTGCCTGCTTAAGACTTGATTACAGTTCCAATATAAAAATAAGAAGTTGGGGTATGATTGCCAATGAGACAACTCTCCACCAGATACCTTATGACGAAAAGGTTAATAAATATATGTATAGGTCTCTGACAGCCTTCATCAATGAGCAGAACCAATAACGCATAGTAAGCTACATGTATAAAAGGTCCCTAAATAACATGACACAAAATAGGCTGAAAATAAATATTCTGCATCAGTGAGTTTGCAAAATTGAAAATATATTTAGAAAGAAAAGCATGTGTACCAATGGCTGCAAATAAAAAGTCAATCTAGAAAAAAATCCTACTACCTCACACATTATGGCTTATGCAGTTTATTCACTATTTTGTCAACAAACTTTTACATACTTCTTTCAACTAATTTACATTAAACCTGGGAACAGTATATCTGTCAATATATGTTCGTGATTAAACAAGACAAAATAAAAGAAAAGAACAGGGCGAAAGGACCCAGAGCGAACAAGTATTAGTGCGAACAGACCAGGATTCCCTTCCCACCACCTACCTAGAATAGGCATAGCAAATGGTCCTCCCCATATGCATAGATATATTAATACTAGTCTAATAGTCATTATACATGTACATGTTATACCAATGCCCTAAGAAACTGCACATTGAATATTTAAAAAGTAAAGTCATGAAGAGTTTAAACCAACACTGCAAACCAGAAATTAAGAATCAATAAAATGACACATGCCTTTGACAAAATTACCCCCCCCCTTTTTTTAAAAAAAGAAACAAAATAAAACACATAACGATAACTGTATTAGCGAAAGGAAACTTATGAAAAAACCGATAGCTTTTCTATGGCCTATTCAGATTAGATGGTCATTAAAAACTCACCGGCCGATAACATACTAACAATATTCACGAAATAAATATGGATTGATCAACGAAGTACGATATCAACAAATCAATCCCATGATGATGTAGGCCTAAAACTGTTAATTTACCAAGCTCGGCCTGTTTTGGTATAACGTTTATATGAATTCAACATATCGCATGACTTCCTTGGCATTCAGATAAACAAAATTGCTACAAAGAAGTAAAGAATCCAACTTTTAATGACATTTACGTTGACATTTTCGGCGCCGGAAATTGACAACGTTGGTCTATATATATATACTGACACAACATCGGTTGAGGTAGATTCCGGCAATTCTGCTTCTAAAAATCTCTTGCAGTTAGAATTTATTGATGTCTTAAAATATATTTGTTATGTTTCAATAAATTTTAGTGGATAATTATTTTTGAGAGAAGAATAGCTATCGTGTACTTCAGAAACAAGATTTAGGGAGGACCACGCCCCCATGGTGGGAACATACAAAATAAAAATGACCGTTCTCCATTTCTACTCGATAGAAGTGCCTAATTTTTTCATAACATATACATTATGTATCAAAGATAATTATATGAAAGTATAAAAAAAATCGAGGCGGAGATTTTTTAGAAACAGTTAATAATTATAGCAGACCAATTGACGTAATAGATAAAAAGACGAAAATGGCGCCTTCTTCAAATTCGAAAAAAATCCATTATTTTACAATTTATTGACACATATTGTTATTTTTTAATGGGGTTTAATATCTATTGATTACTTTTCCATGATAATTGAATGAATATTTACTTTAAAAACAGAAACTCTTCCTATTTCTAAATCTACCGACCATGCAAGGAAAAACCTATAAAAAATTGCGACCCCTACATTAAAATGGGAACAAATTTTTGCCCTGGCTTGAACACTCACGTTCTTTACGAATTTCGATGCCAAAAACTAGCGAGAATATGATGTAGAATTTTTTTTTAAATCGAAGGATAGGTATTTTTTTGTTCCCATTTTTAATGTAGGCATTTTATCCTACAGTGCAGAAAATCAATATCCGAAATTCTATGTTCAGATATAAAAAAATGAGATTTCCTTTTATTTTAATGTTCAAAAATGAAAATAATATGTAAATTCATATATTTTTCTCATATAGATTTCCTTACAATCAACAGTATTTATCGTCGGTACTTTGCCGCAAACGAACGAAAAAAAATACAAAAGCGCGCCATTTTTCAGTTGACGTCGGCCGACGCAAAATAGTCCAATTTTCGGCGTAGGACTACTGAGCGCCGCCGAATCACATTTTGGCCAAAAAGGCACATCCGGTTGTCCTACTGAATGGTATCTGTTAAAAGTACTAATAAAGGAAAAGGTTTCTCGTATGCTCTTATTGATTTGAATTTTCAAAAGCTGTAATGTTATCTTCCAATAAAAAACAATGTAATAATTTTACATGCCTGGTGAATGTTTTTTTTTTAATTATATATTAGTCGACATTTTTTTCACACGAGAAAATGTAATGCTGAAATATCCACTTTAGAGAATCTAAATAAACCGGAAGTCTACAATTGATATATTGAGTGGGAAATTAAACTATTCAAGAAGCAATTATGATACAGAAATAGTACTTGTTTTTCTATTTCATACATTGTTACTTTAAATCATTCCTTTTTGAAAAGTTTTGGGTTGTACGTTTTAATTATAATATCATTTGTTAAAGCATCTAACTTAAAAAGTTCTGAGTCTTTTTGTGTTTTTTGTTTTCTGTTTCTTGACGGCTTTCAAGCTTACAAAATTACTTCTACAGAACTTGACGTGTGTATCTACTATTTCATGTTTTTGATATAGTTATTTTGATGGTTTTAATGTAAATACTAGACTTAGCCATTTTTGTTTGTACCAAATTATATGCAGAAATTATAGAAAATGGTCTGACAAAATGCCACGTTGTAAGTTAAATCCGGCTAATTTTTAGGGAATACTCCCCCTTCACCCCATTTAGACCCTCATGTATGTTTTTATTCCGAAGTTTCTGCTTCTTATAAATTCATATATCATCAGAATCAATGATTAAGATTGTAGAAATCTAATATTATGCAGATACATTTTCTAAAACACCATGACGCAAAAACTATTAACACCAATTATTTCTGTACACTTCCACCTTCATGTCCTTGAATAGGTAATTAATAATAGTCACGAAATGTATAGTTTGAATTGAAAAGAGCGCCGAAACTTTAACATTATACACGACAGGTGGTTTTCTTACGGATTTCATGTAATGTTATATTGATCATGTATAAATGGCTTATCATGTTTCATTTTATATTTCTTTAGAAAAAATACAAAGGTTACCCCGCTACATATTTATCTTTAAACTGACTATAAATGAACACTATATCATGTATTCAAATTATTTGAGATAAGGAAATTAATGATGGGTTTTATCGATATTATATAATTTTGGGCGTATGACCAGTTGATGTATTAATCTATACATTTATGTATTGAAACATTGAACACGAACCATTACATAATTGGGGAAAAATAAATTCCTTGATCCCTTGATCAAATTAAAATTAATTTATTGTAAGAAAAATGTCGAAAAATAGTATATAATCGAAAGTACGTAATATAACAATAAGATGTTAGAGTGATTGATCATTGTGATGTCAATAACACTTACAATTGTTTGTTTTATCATACTAATTTTTTTATCTTTAGTCAATTCAAGCGAATAAAAATTAAACAGCATGATCTATGATATAATTGAGGAAAATCATATACAACAAACGCAAACCAACGACAAACAACGAATAACATACTCTGGCTCAGGACAGGTACTTATATAATAAGTTAAACAACTAACGAACTGTCTGGATATTGAATAGTCAGGCGCTATAATACTCAGCTTAGCACCTTTTTACAAGTCTCACAATCATGTAAAAAGATTAAAATAGAACTGCACTAGTTATTTCTTTATAACGAAGGACGTCCTACGCAATTTTATCGTTTCCATTTCCATCTATATTATAAGTTGAAATAATCCCTTTTAAATTTACGGACCCCATCACGAGTATCTTGGCCGTTATTGAATATTAGTTTTTCAAATGATAGCGGATACGTTTCAAATGTCGTTACTATGTGACCTACCGAATAAGACTTATTATCGGGGTTTTTACTAACATGAGCAACTCGACAGGTGCATCTGCCTACCCTTTCGGAGCACCTTAGATCACTCTAGGTTTTGGTGGGGTTCGTATTGCTCCGTCGTTAGTTTTCTATGTGTTTTGTGTACTGTTGTTTGTTTGTCTTTATTCCTTTTAACAATTACATTGTCAGTTTATTTTCGACTCATCAACTGAATGTCCCTTTGATGTCTTTCGCCACTCTTTATAAACGTCATGAATTTCGGTCATAATTTTTTACTTTCTAAATACAATAAATAAAAAAAAAATAGGAAACACTAAAAATTGTAGGCAATAATACAGACAGTACCAACAACAGATTTGCACTGACAAACAACAAAAAAAATAGGAAAAAACACAAAAAAGAAAATAAAACAACAAAAACAAAAAAACCCAAAGCAAGATGTGATCAAAGTGGCCTGTTTTGGTTTTATATTAGTTACGCTGTATGTAGACCGTACGTCGTGAAAGTATGACACACTATAAAATATAACAGTCCGGTTAATTTAAGCAGAAAATACAATGTTGTCATGGCCAGAGATTTTCTGTTGAATCAGTTTTTTGCATTGTCTTTGTAAAATTTGTTTACAACTGTTTAAACCGGAGCAATTTAAGCTCTACACCTACGATTGGAGCAGACATAGTGCCTTCAGTCTATATGACTAAAAGGATACACATTATTGGTCTACTTGAAAAGGTAACCTAACGATAAAATATATCTAGAGGTCAACAAACAATTAACAGGTCATTATATAGTTCAAGTGTACATTTCGTCCTTTTTTAATCATTAACAGCTTGTTGATTCATACTTTTTTTCACACCATCTTCTGTATATTCGGAAGTGTAAGTCCTCCTAATTTGTGATTATTAATTGATTTTGTGTTTAAAAAACTATATTATCAATAATCCACCGTTTTCTACATTTGAAAATGCCTGTACTAAGTCAGGAATATGACAGTTGTTGTCCATTCGTTTGATGTGTTTTGTCATTTGATTTTGCCATGTGATTAGGGACTTTCCGATTGAATTCTCCTCGGAGTTCAGTATTTTTGTGATTTTACTTTTTTCCCCCGGGTTTATACGCTTTACACTTTCTATAGAATCGTGTTTTGGATTTCATTTCTGTTATTGGTAGCCTTTTTAATACTTCTCTTATTTACACCTTCTTTGTATGCAACATTTTAACTCCTACAATTTTGGGATTTTTAATTGACGTTTTATATCAATATCTTCTTCCGGGTTTAGTCGCATTACACTTTCTATAGAATCGTGTGTTGCATTTTATAATTTTTATAAGTAGTGCTACTCCCTTTGTAAACACCTACTTTGTGTATTCGACATTCTAACCCTTACAATGTTGGAATTTTTAATCAGTTTATTTTTAGATGGATTTCTACTTCCAAGTTTAGTCGCTTTATTCTTTCCAAAGAATTATGTGTTGAATTTTATTTCTTGTTATCTTCAGCAAACTTGACAATGTGTAAGTACAATATATGCTATCTGATTCAAACAAAAAGTCGCATTATGCCAATCTAAATTAAGGCGGTACACAACACTACAAATCCGAAAGAATATATGTATAAATAAATGTTTGACATGTACAAACGTCATATCGCTCGACAAATGTCAAAATATATGGTTTGCATGTATGAATGAACTAGTTTAGCTTGAAAATTTGCATTCAATTATTGTCAAGCTTATTTTCCTTCGTAACGCATATTAATTTCATTTATTATAAACATCACATCTATCTAAGACAATTCAAAATCATAATTATGCATATTTTCTATGCAGGGATCATCAAATGTTCTTATTTCCTGGTTGCTGCTTTTATACTTCAAGCTAGTTGTAACACTAAAAGAGTCCATGAGATGAAGGATTGGACAGAATGTCAGTTCGCTAGTTCCTGTATTTGCAAAAACATGCATGATTCAGAAGAACTTCAAGCGGATTGTTCAAACAAAAATCTACTTCGTATACCTACATTACAAAACAATCTTCAAGATTTATCGCTACGAAATAATGCTATCAGTCTAATAAAAGAAGGGATTTTCGAAGGAAATCATTTATTGAAGTTTTTGGATTTGTCTTTCAATAGAATAAGTAATATACGCAAAAACACATTCAAAGGTCTCAAAAATTTACTTTCGTTAGATCTCAGCGCCAACAATTTGAAATATGAAAACATGTCGTTTGAAAGTTCTGCTTTTCAATTTTTGGAGAACTTGAAGATTTTGAATATGAAAAACAATTTTCACACTTCATTCTTGCCAGATTTATGGAGACTTCGGACACTAGAATCGCTGTCTATAGATTATATATCTGACAAAATTGCAGTTCTTACTGAAAATTTTATATATTTGAATCACCTAAGAAGTTTAGATCTATCCGGTTCTACTGGTAATTGCACAATGAACATACTTACACAGGCGACATTCTTGTCTCTCTCTCAAATAACCCATATCAATCTGTCCAAATGCAAAATACAATATATCTACAAAGGAACTTTTGAAAGTATGAAAAATATTTCGGAGCTTGATGTCTCTTTTAATACTTGTTTGAGATTCGCGGTGCTTGAAAATATAACCACAGATTTACAATATACCGCAATCAAAATCCTGAAAGTAAACTATATTCATAGTACTTTCGAAATGAGCACAATACTGAAGACTTCACACATTCGGAATTTAAGAAACACATCACTTGCTAGATTTGAAGCCGCTGGAAACCGTATTCAAAGAGTAGAATATGGTGCTGCAAAGTACTTTCCTAAATCATTTGAAAGTATTAATGTAAGGGACAATGCTTTTTCCTTCGGCAAATATCTCTTTGAATTAGTTAGACTACAAATAACATCTTTAGATATTTCAGAAATTTCCTCTTCACATAATGTTCTCACATGCTACATGGAGACATGTGATTCTCAATCAGATACTTTTACAATGAATTCTGAAAATAACTGGTTGTCTTATTTACGTTCACGCTTTGATTTCAAGAGAAAGAAGTTTGATCATTTTGTTGCCCGACTTCCAGTACCAAGAAAACTAAGGAAACTTTCACTTACGTCAAGCAAAATGAAATTTGAAATACCAAAATTCGGTTTCATCACAAATGAATTAACAAATCTTAATTTTAGTGACAATATCTTGCACACATGGACAGGCCCTATAACAAATGTAAATAATATGACAGTTTTAGACTTATCGTCGAACTTTTGTTCTAATGTTTCAAAGATATTTTTCAGCGAAGACTTTATCAACTTAAGATATTTACTGCTACAAAATAATCTCTTGGGACTCATTCTACCAATGGATGTCGATGGAGAAATATTTCAGAATCTTCATAACGTAGTTCACATTAATCTCTCGAAAAATAAAATAGCAAATATACCAAATCTGTTATTTAAAAAGCAACAAAATCTAGAAAGATTAGACCTCAGTGAAAATATGATTGATGATATAAACTTTAAACTTTCTCATCTGAGAAAGCTCATGTTTCTTAATTTAAGGAATAATAGAATATCTAGGCTGAGTAAATATGCCATGAACGGATTGGACTCAATAGCCAAAATGAATACAAATCTCACTATTGATCTTAGTGGAAATAATCTTGTATGTAATTGTGATTCTCTGTCTTTCGTCAAATGGATAATTGACACATCCACTTATCTTCGTCATCGGGAAGAATACGAATGTAAAACATCACAAAACCCAATCAGTCTTCTTCGAAACCCTAAAGAAGTTTACCAAACCATACAAAAGGAATGTATGTCATATGAAGGTTTAATAATTGGATTAACGACAGGAATTTTGATGTTTATTTTTATACTTTGTGGTGGTATTGTTTACAGATACAGATGGAAACTACGCTATCTTTACTACATGGTCAAAGTTAAATGGCATGACCCCGAACATAAATCCGTCAACAAAGATGAAAGACTATACATGTATGATGCTTTCGTGTCATACGCAAACGAAGATCACACATTTGTCCACACTACACTTCTTCACAAATTAGAGAAAAATAGTGGAATTCAGTTGTGCTTGCATAGGCGGAATTTCCTACCCGGAAATGACATTGCCACTAATATTACTTCCGCAATTCATAACAGTCGGAAAACAATTGTCATAATGTCTTCAAATTATTTAGCTTCGTACTGGTGTATGTTCGAATATAATATGGCTAAAATGGAGAGTATCTATGAACGCAATTGCGAGAACATCCTTTTCCTAGTATTTTACGAGCAAATTCCTGCTTGCGATCTTCCACTTCAAATACTCGAACTTGTTCATTGTCAATCATATATTGAGTATCCGAATGATGAGTACGGGGATGTTGTTTTTTGGGAACAGCTTCAAAGGGCAATCAAATCCCACTAGTAAATATGTCCTCTATTTGACGCTACTTATTGCTAATTATGTACAAGGACTTCCGGCATACATTTGTCTTATTATTTATGTTTAATTAGATGTTTTGTCTAGACAATATGCAAATATTTTAACTTCTGCTCATAAAGATCAACCATCATTGATTTAGCAAATATAAATTAATGATTCCCTTTTCGAGTAAGTAGACCATTTGTGTTACAATTTCGCCATACTTACCAAATACATGTATATAAAACATAATTAACACAGTGCTTTAAAGAACCGCTTGGAGTTTAAATTTGAATAAGAAATTAGCCAAAATTTAGTTTTTTCACCATCAATTATGTTGGTTAGATGAGATGATGTTCATTTGTTCAAAACTATTAGGCAAATATTCGAATAAAATTTATATCCGCGGATCGCCTGTTATGATACAAACTAGTTAAATCTTAACGTAGTAATAAAATAACCTACTAACGTTTGACAATAAGTTGTTGGACCTTTATTTGTATTGTTATAATTATCGTTCTCATTAGCTGTGGATAATGTGTAAATGCACATCCATGCCAGGTCTGAATATGGACATACCACCCTAAGCATTGAGTGTAATGGAAGTTTTCATGCTCTCTGTACGTTTAAAAAACCTCAAAAGTGTGATCTGTAAATTGCCTTGTTGTAATGTAATTTGTTGACCTATTCAACAAGTTGTCATTTTCCATAGGAAGTGGACATCATCCTCCAATAATTCGGTCGGTTAATTTGAAAGTACCTGTCAAATGACGAAGTTCGAATTCGTAACCTGTATTGAGCAGTTTGTGGAGCAGAGTATTTGTTTATCCTTCTTTGGCAAGATTATTCATTTTCAGTTTTTATCAGACTTAAGTATGTTCGCTACTCTTTTTCGAAATAACAAGCTATTTAAACGACTGTTATAATTTGATAGTATGTAATAAAAGGAACTGAAAAAGTTGGAAAAAATGAAAGGTCTGTGAGCTTGTTTCGAGATATAAGCCATTGAAAATTTGACGTTAACTGATTATCTATAGATTTTTTTATATATATAACATTGGCACAAGATTTTTTAAAATGGCTTTTTAAACAATATGCTCTAACATTATGTAAAGAAAAGTAGGGGTTAGCGGGAAACATTTTTATTGACACTACAAGGATAAAACTACAGGATTCCGAACATCTGACAAAAAGTCAAAGATAAGAGTAGCGAACATCCTTAACACGGTTCGAAAATTTTCCAAAACAGATTACAAAAGTTAAGCGTCATGCGTTTCATTTATGTATGAGTACCTTTAACTTCTGTATTTGACCCCTTATCGTTCCTGATATATAACATCAATGTTGGGGAAACATTACAGTTCATTTTAGGTAGAAGCAGTGCTGACGATATTACAGTAATAAATCATGACATTCTAATGCAAAACTTTTGAACAACAATTTGGTCACCATTATGAAATGGTTGACCCAAACGATATATTTATGTATGAACTCACCAACGATATGCCTTCGCGGTCGTTGATTATGTACTAGAATCATGGTTGTTCGTGTATTTGCAAACTACCTAATATATATTTTTATGGTTAGCACAAACTTTACTTTTTGAAATTCCTATCCAGGTAATTGCTTGTGCTTTCTGGTATCTATGATTTAATGTGTAGTTTTCTGCAGCCAACACATAATCCACCGTCAAATTTTAGACACCAAACCACTGATGGCTATAAATGTGGCGAAGGTCTCAAATTCCACACAAATGTGACATTTCTGAAATTTGAAATTTCAATATCAAATAGTTATGCTATGTACATTGGGACAGAACCGAATGCCCAAAAAGGCCTCATATAAAAAAATAGTTTGATCAAAAATGTATGCTGGTCAACTGGTGTGTACCAAACTTAACACACAACTGATAAACAAATCCGGAAAGGTTGGTACACCGGGTTAGTTTGTTATCTTTGTCAAACACTATACCGACGTGTCAAGTCAATAATTTTATTATAAAATCAACTCATAGATGAAAATGTTCTGGTCAAAGTTCAAATCTGTTGGTTAATTCGATTATAAACTTTCTATCTAGATAAAGAAAATTAATTTTAATAAGAGTTCGAGGCGGCTCAGCAATACACAAAAATATGCAAAATGGAAGATTTTATTCTCAAATGTAACCATTAATGATAGGAAAAAACATTTTTCTTATTTTAATCGTGAAATTATTTTTAGTATTTAGTTTCACACCGAATTTGAGCATGCACATATTTCACGATGTGTAAATTGTCGCCAATTTTACAATTTAATCAATCGGTAATAAAGATATATTTCAAATAATGTACATTTATAATTTTTCCTGTTTGTTATTCATTAGATAAAGGTAGTCCAATTACAAGTTATCAGAAGATTTACATTAAACTAAAGAACTCCACCCCATTTATGTGTTTTAATTAAAGCAGTAATGCTATATATGAACTAGGGACTGGACAGAGTTGAACTATTTATGGATAAGGAGTAAAGAAAGAAGGTATAAAACAAAACATAATAAAAAAATAAAAAAAATTTGCAAAAAATTAAGGACAAAGAAAACTGGTTTATAAAATACATAAGGCAATAATGAGGAAAAGCCATCAAGACGTTCGTGCATATTATGATTTAGATTTCTATTCTTTTGGTATTATAAACATTTATACCGTCACTTATAAATCACTTTTATGTTAAAACAGCAAATGATTACAAAATAACTTTAAACTTTGTCCTTGAACAGGTAAAAAATAAAAGATCTAGATATCGAAATAACGCGTGACTAAACTCGTTTCAAAACATACCACATACTGGTGGGTGATTGAACGGATTACATTGTATCGTGTGTCATTAAATATGTTTTACCACTTTAATATTTTGTTATTCTTTCAGTCGACAATGCCTTCACATTTTGAAATGAATTATACATGTTATAATTCATCTAACTGCATTCTTTGCATGAAATTAACTTACACTAACACGTTATGATTTAGTTTATCTATAAATTATCTAAATTTCAAATGATGATCGGCAAAAGACAACTATGGAAAAAAGTCCAAGAGACGTAGGTGTACGCATCTTTGCATTACCGTCTGGCTTTGAAAAATACAAAATTAACATAAGTAATATGGAATGATCCTGTTAAACTTTTATTACTTTAAAAAACTTCTAAACGTTTCTGATTTAAAATTTTCATTTCATTTATGTTTGTTCACACCATAGAGGTATTAAGGAGTCGGTTTTGGCCCAAGAAATATAAATAATTAACATAAGATTGTTGATGTAATGACGTCAAAATTGCGCCATAATATGTATGTATTTCATGAAAACATTGAAAACAACAACAAAGATAAAAGAACCTTTGTTATACTTATCTAAATAATCCTACCAAACATAAGGTTGTTTGTAGGTGCGCAGATACCTTTCCATTCTAACATAAGCTTAAAAATTGGTGTGAAATAAGAAAAATACAAATTACTTAGATAATATGAAAATTTCGTAAAGGTTTGTAACTCGTTAAATGTGATATTTGTTTTTATTTAAAAATACCTGGTTCTGATTGAGATTGTGACACGGTGATGACTACTGTACCCCTATTTTGACAATTTTACCTATTAAATCTGTTTTGTTCACTCATCGTTGTCAATATAATGGAATTTGATGCGACTGTCTTACAAGTGAGAGGTTTAGCGATATAAAACCAGGTTCAAGCCACCAATTTCTACATAAGAACATGCCTGTACCAATTCAGGAATATGACAGTTATGTGTTTTATCCTTTGATTTTGCCATTTGATTAGGGACTTTCCGTTTTGAATTTTCCTCGGAGTTCAGTACTTTTGTGATTTTACTTTTGTTCCTTATGTCTAACTTTCTGATTTGCTCTAATATTAGGGCATTATTGCTCTTCTCCTTTCCTGTTTTCAATAAGATAAAGACAACTGTCTTCTGAGTAAGAACAGTTCAAATTTACATAGAATATTTATCATATATCAGAAAACAATTCAGGGTTGGCAATTAGTGGAGGATACTAGTAGTACAGCGATTCATATTGCCATACAAAGCAGTGGTCAGGTATCCATTTGCCGATTAAAATAGACACAATCAATACGTCATTCCTAATCCGTAACAATAAACCATGTTCTGAAAGTTTTACTGCATCATGAAAACTTGAGATAATGACACTATTCTTATTTTTTTCAATATTAATTGTTCTGTATATAAGAAATAATAAGAAAGCAATGAATGAGGTTGTTAAATTTGAAAAATGTCCTTTTTTGCTTCTTTGTTAAATATTTGTTTGTTTTTATTGCTATTAAGATACTTGTGGTACATACATCCTGTCATTATTGTTTATGATATTCTCGTATTCTTGTCTTTCATTTCTGCTAATGTGCTTTGTCTATATGCCTTTTGGTGTTACTTCTAAAACTGGTTTGTTGCTCGTCTTTCATTTTTGCTATGTGCTTTGTCTATATGCCTTTTTATGTTTCTTTGGTACATATATGACGTGGCTCTGTACCTGTACTTATCATCCCGTCATTGTGTTATTGTACTATGGTAAATGTGTGTATTCTCGTCTTTAATTTTTGCTAATATGCTTGGTCTATATGCCATTTTGAGCTTCTTTCTTACATATTAGTATGTTTTTAAGTGATTAAGATTATAACACAATGTTGACTGCTGTTTTTTTTTACATTTTTACCTATTATGTCTGTTTGTTTTGTTCACGCATCGTTGTCAACATAATGAAATTTGATGCGACTGTCATGTAAGTGAGAGGTTAACCTAGCTATAAAACCAGGTTCAATCCACCATTTTCTATATAAGAAAACGCCTGTACCAAGTGAGGAATATGACAGTTGTTATCCATTCGTTTTAGCATTTGATTTTGCCATTTGATTAGGGACTTTCCATTTTGAATTTTCCTCGGAGTTCAGTTTTATTTTTTTGTTATCCAAACAATAATAATGAATATGACTGTTGTTATCCATTCGTTTGGTGTGTTTGAGCTTTTGATTTTGCCATTTGATTATGACTTACATCTAGAAATTGACAATGAGGGTCAGAACAAAACTTTACGACATAAGAGATGATTTCGGCTTCCAAATTGTGACCTTTCATTTAAACCCAGAGTTCATAATGATGAAGTTGAAATTATCACTTCGTAAATTTTACGGACGCCATCAGGAGTTGGTTGACCGTTATGGAATATTCGTTTCATAAATGATATCGGATATGTTCCTTATGTAGTAACTACAATCCCGTTCCCTTTTCACGAATGTGACCTACCGAATTAGACTATTTACCGGCTTCGTAATAGCATGATCAACACGACGGGTGCCGCTTGTGGAGCAGGATCTGCTTGGCCTTCCGGGGCGCCTGAGATCAACCCCGGAATTTGGTGTGGTTCGTGTTGCTGTTGTACCCCTATTTGTGACATTTTACCTATTGTTTCTGTTTGTTTTGTTCACACATCGTTGTCAATATAATGGAATTTGATACGACTGTCATACAGTTTTTATTTACAGAATTGTTTTTACTATATGAATATTGATGTAATGTGTGTGTTGGAAGTCACTGGACGTTTTTGTCGATCACTGGACGTTATGCTCTTTGGTCACTGGACTGAATCTTTTTAATAATACTGTATGGTCACTGGACCTGATTGATATGCATTGATTCAGGTAAATATGTTATGTATGTAATATTAAAATTGTTAGTAAAGATTATAATTACTGTATATCTATTTTTAGAACATTTTTTCGACTGGATTCTGGTCACAGTTAAGTTTGGTTAAGCACACAAAACTCAGACTACTTAACTCACATTTAAATGCAACTGTCTTAAATTCAAGGGCCAAGACGACCGTTACAAAATATATTGGAGGTTTCAAACGTTTTCTTAGGTGGACACAAAAATACAAAGAGATAACTTCCGTACTTCCGTGTAATAAACTTTATGTAGGTTTATACTTGCAACATTTGATTGAGTCATCTAAGTGTTTCAGTTCAGTAGATACAACATTTTATAGCATAAAATGGGCTCATCGTATTGCTGGCGTATCTGATCAAAGCGAATCTGAACTAGTTAAAAATATATTAGAGGGTGCTAAGAGAATATTATCTCGTCCAAAAAAAGGAAAAAAGAAACAGTTGACTCGAACTCACTAATTAAACTGTTTAATAAATACCAAGATCGTAACTCATTGAAAGAAGTGCGATTATTGTTAATGTGTTCGTTAATGTATACAGGGTTTTTTGCGTTTCAATGAGTTATGTAACATTACAGCTAAAGACAGAGTTTTTCATACTTCGCATGTCAATATCTTTATTTATAAGAGTAAAACAGATTGTTATAGACATGGTCATAACATTGTCATTTCTAGATAAGATAGTCCTTACTGTCCTGTAAAGCTTTTGCAAAGTTATCTAGATTTAGCAAAGATTGAGAATAATTCAGAATCTTTTATCATGTTTATATTTCGTGCATTGTCTTTTTTAAAGAAAACTAATTCTTTTATATTGAGAAGTAAAAATGTAAAAATCTCGTATACTCGAGCAAGAGAGTTAGTTAAAGAGGCTTTATCACAAATTGGTTTTACTGTAAACAAATTTGGTTTACACAGTTTCAGAGCAGGTGGTGCCACTGCGGCCGCTAAATATGATATACCAGACAGACTTTTTAAAATACATGGAAGATGGAAATCTGATTTAGCTAAAGATGGTTACGTATCAGATAGTTTAGAAAAACGATTAACAGTTTCTAAGAATTTTGGTTTATAGCATTTACACGTTCTGCTTTCTTTGTACGTCGAAATGGTCACCGTGTCTGTTAGTATCAGAAATTGTCTTGTCTTTTTATATAGATATATACAATGTGAGCCAGTTTAGAACAGAAATCAGGGATAGAGTTATACAAGAAGATTAGAGCAAGTTAGCACATAAATATGTTATGTTCGTTTGAACATCGTGAACTAAGAACATAAATAAATGTATGTGCGGTATGCGTATGAATTTTCTGATCTATTTTAGTTTCTTGTTTAACAAGAGAATAAACGAGTTATGCAAATTAGTAGGGTATTTAATAGATTGAAAACGGGTTTCAAGTTTATCGAAGGCTGGGCGGCGACCACTCGACTTGCAGACAATTTATTTTTTTTATATTGTTAAATGTGTAGAAGACACGTGCAGTGAATATGTATTTCTAGTATACTGATGTGTAATGTTTATTTTATAGATTTGATATGATGAAGTGTTTATGCAGAGACGTTTAGAACATTATTCTTTGATGAAATGAAAAGACATTTTTAGAAAATCGATTAGATTGTGAATTAGGATGATTAAATAGAAATGGTCACCCTGCCTGTTATTATCAGAAATAGTCTTGTCTTATTTATATAGATATATACAATATGAGCCAGTTTAGAACAGAAATCAGGGGTAGAGTTATAGAGCTTAGATTAAGATTAGAGCAAGTTAGCACATAAATATGTTATGTTCGTTTGAACATCGTGAACTAAGAACATAACCATTATTTTTTTCTCTCGTTTTTTTTATTTCGCGCTCTATTTTTTTTTTCTTTTATCGGTCAATGATAGTCGATTCTTCTCATGATCTTGTCAGATCTTTCTGATATTTTCGGATAAATTACATACAAATTGCTTGATATCTTGAAATGCAGAAAACATTTATATATTTCTAATCATACCAACGAGGCTAGCAACATCTTTGCATAGTTGTGATTTTCGACTACACATTTACTACAACATGGTTGTTCGTGTTGGTTGCAATTTACGATGGGGCAAGAGGCAGCAGTGTTGTACTCTTCCATTTTTGATCTTTAATTTCTGTTACAGTTTCAGCTGA